CCAGTAAAAGCCAGAATTTGGGTATTCGGATACTCATACAGCAAAACTAAATCCTGCTATGCAACTAAGGGATCCCATAGGGAACTTTATTTAGCATCAAAACTAGCTACCCTGTATGCTTATCTTTCTAAAGCATCACATTATGGGGAATATACATTTTCTAATCAGCTTTCTTCTGCTTCAGTGAATAGCAGAACTAATACCTCTCAAACTGCACCAAAAGGCTCAATAAATACCACAAAAAATGGTAGTTTCTTAATTTGTAATTAAATCCTTATTTTTTCAGTATATCAAACAATTACAGAAGCAACTCACAGGAATCACAGCCTTACAAACCTGCATATCCTATTGCAGTCAGAAAGTGCCTTCAGCATAGTGGGAATTCAGGCTGACTTGCAACAGCATTTATAATGCCTTCTGGTGCATTAGAAACCAATTGAGATCGCTGGCAGCTGTAAATAATTCAGTTAATCAGTTGCTAAAGCACAAAGAAAGTGATACTTCTGGTTACAAAAGTACTTTTAAATATGATATCATTCCTTGAAGGGATAACATTAAAGGCTGGGTTTTATATAAACATATATATACACACACATACACTTTTGCACACAGGCATGTATATAAAAGCCCAAGAGATTTTGTTTCATGCAGAAAGGTAGAAGGACCTTTACACTGGGCAAAGTGGGTGCTCTGAGTGTTGTTTCCTTAGTTTTAAACATGAACTCTAAGACTTGTCAATGAAAAATAGAGAGCAGTCTGCCTGAAGTATTGAGCATGTTGTATCTTATATCCAGGTTCTGTTTTACAGTTCCCTTACTGCCTCCAGAATCATTACACTGGAGAACATGCTGTTAACTCATCAGAAGCCAGAACCCTGCTCTCAAGAGCTAAAGGAAAATGTATTACAAAAGCTAAAGCGTAAGGTGTGATGTTACTGGAACGTTCCTGAATACGGAACTTAAAGCAATCTGTTTGCTCTACTTTTGTTTTGGAAAGAGAACAACGAAATATTACTCTTAGGATCCAAAATGAACAAGAGATCCATTCCCTCCCTTCATTGTAAAATATCCATCTTGCAAAATCTGTTTTGGTGGCCTATTTCTGGTCCAGAGATTTCAAAATGTATGTGGCTGTCCTCCAAACCTTCCTTGAAAGACATGAAAAAAGACTGTGTATTGTTTCAACTTAGAAAAAGCATTCCCACTGTATGCAAATTCCTTCCCTGGCCTAGATCATAGTGACCATGAGTTCTGAAACCTTCATTGTACAAACCATGATACAAACCACTGTATGCAACATGATGATGTGTGGTTTGACAAACACCTTATTTCACCCTTCTACTTGACCAGTTGAACTAGCACTGAAGGGCAGAGGTACAAGAAATCAAACAGCATTTGCTTCAGGAGTTACACGCGTTAGATTAGGCTTGGTTCAGCAGAGCAGTAGCACCCTTGTTTAACCTTGAGCATCTCTGTATTCTTTGCTGAATTTGCAACAATAGCAGAAAGTCATCCTGAAGTGCAGTCGTCACAGTGACTTTCATCTGAACAAATGCATTCAATGGCTTCCAAATAAAATACATAGACCAGGGAATAAGGGGATTTGATATTGAGTGTAATTGCTGTTGTTTGGATGCCTTCAAATAACACTAGTCTTTAGGCAGGCTGCTTTCTCAGCTCATTGTGATCCTACCAAGAACCTCTGGCATCTGAACGTACAAAATGAGTGTCAAAGAGTGAGCTGGCTTTGTGATATAGCGATTTAAAGAATAATGGATCTCTAGTGACAAAGTCTCCACGTTGTGCTATTATGTTAGCAATTATGGCAGAGGAAGTTTGTTTAGGATTTAGGCCCAGTGTTCCTTAAGCAAGGCTTGTAAACAGTCTGGAAGTTGACTTTCCTGTTGGTGATAGAGAGACTGACAGCTAACAGCAACCTTTTGTGTAGCAATGACAACTGAGATTATTTTGCAGTTTCACTGCAATGTGATTAGATTGTAATTGCACTGTGGCTCTGCTGGGATTTTGTGTTGCTTAACTGATGGCCCCAAACCAAATGACTTTCACTATGAGAGAGAAACCCTGAAATTGAATTCCCTGATGTTGGTTTAATACATTCTAGTGTAGTTTCATGCTTGTAGAAAATGAATCCACTTTGAATAAAACCCACAGAAAGAGTGGAAAGATCCACTGACAGATTCTGTGATGCAGGTATCTGACAGAGGCATCTACACTAAAAAGTTCCTCAAATTTGGTTGAAGGAAATTGTTTTCTGTTTTGATTTAGAGAATGGTACAAATTTCTTCCCTCAGTGCCATAAAACTGTTATGAAGATGAAACTCCTTTTATAATGAAAAAGTAGTTGGCAACAGAGAAACATCTGTGAGTATGACCTTGGTTTTATGGAGATCTGAAAGTTGCATTATTATCACCAGTGAGACAAAGATATCATCTGGTGGATCCAGAATAAAGAAAGTGCTGGAGTTTCTTTATATTGTATATTTTAATAGGTGTGCTGCTCAGGGCACGTTTCTAAACTTGAGAATTAATATTTTTAGATCATCTACTTTATTGAAGAGAAAAATAAAGCGTAACAGGATGATTGCTTATATACACAAAGATACTGTGCTGTTTAACTGACGAGATGTTAAAACCAACAAAATCACAACCAAATAATGTCTGAGAAAATCAAATCAGAACTAATTTCATCCATTAGAAACAAGCGTCTGATGGGAAGTGTAGCTAATGAGCCCACCTAGGAAATGTTTAAACGTATCCAGAAATTTGAGCCACAAGCTTGTATTTGGCAAACACTATCAAAATGTTCTAACGTCATATGATAAGAGTGAGTTATATAAACACAGCCTATGCATGAGAAACTCCCCTATTTCTGCTTCTTGTATCAAGTAAGAGGAGGGGAAACCTGCCAGTATTTAAGAAGATCCTATTAAAAAATGGACTTTTCTTTCTTTTCTCTGCAAGAAAGAGTGAGTTTAGAGAAGATGGAGACAGGAGCTGAGTTCTTTTTTTGGACCTGCTACCAAGATCTCCACTCAAAAAACAACACAGCTTTTTATTTTCTCCCTTTCAAGCACCTAGCTGTGCTCATTGACCTCGTAAGAGCCTACTTTGTGGATGCACACATTCATTTACAAACAGACTCAAAAATCCTCTAAAATGACCTAATGTTGTAGAATCCATTCTTCCTCCATTAGGACCCTTTCTCTGCAGTTGAAGGCCATTCATTAGCAGCTGCCAGCCATGCTACCAGCCCCTCTCTAATCAGTCATTCCATCATCACTTTAGGACACTTGTAATGCTTGACAGGACTTTAATATAAAACTTCCCAAGGCAGTTGTCAGATGGCCATGAGTTCTGACTATGATATAATTCACATGTTCAGGAATGTAATTTCATGCTATGTGTGTTGCTGAACTGCAAGCTTTTAGCTCTGACTTCACAGTACTTAATCTCTTCCATGCCAAAAATTGCTTCGATAGCATCTTTTATGTTCAGCTGAACTGCTGCACTAGCCCAAGGGAAAACTTTGGTTCAAGGTGGATTTAAATTTTGCTGGAAACAGAAAAATCTAATCAGACCATTTAATACAATTTACACTGTTGCTCCTTCTGCCTGTGATGCACAGGAGATGCAGAACAGCTCTGCCCACCTCACCCCATCAATGCCTGGCACACAGCATCTCTCTCTGCTCAAATGTAGATTTATTCTCCTCTCCTGCCTGTAATACTTGTTCTCCAGGGGCTTTTGAGTGACTGGCTTCCTGAACACCTTGCTGGGCTGCCGGAGCTGCTGGACCACTGGAGATATCTGCTCACTGCTGCACCGTGCCCTACGCACCTACATGGGCACTATCCTACCACAGAATAACCCTCCTAATACCAGTTTTAAGCTGGAAAGAAAGTGAAGAGTGACTTTGCAGGTTATCCTTCACATGGCTCATTCTCAGACTCATCTGTGATTAAATGATCCCTCTGCACAGCTAGCCTGTCCCAAAGGAGCTAAAATGAGTGGCTGAATGAGATGGAAGCAGAAGTTGTCTCTTGCAGATGATGTGTCAACATCAGGAGCTAACAGCGCCCAAGCCTGAACAGCTCTGGTAAAAAATGGCAACTACTGCTTCTCTCCTTTGCTCCAAACCATTTTTCAATACAACTTCATGTCTGCTGTCTGGTGTTCAGACTACAGCTTTCTGCAGCAGGAGCTGCCTTCCCAAATACCTGATGTTTAGGGTGTGATGCTAGAAAGACCTGAGATTTTCCTCCTTTCAAATGGCAGATCCATATAGATGAGAACTCTCTCAAAGCACTCTGCAGAGCGATGCCAGTCACATTTGCAGAGTTCCAATGCTTAACAAAGCCTTCACTCTGGGGACAGAGCATTGTCCAGCAAAGGAGGTGACAGAGACGTCAAATCTATATGCCAGATGTCGGTGTTGTAACTTGTACTGAGCCTCCTTTCTCTTTGTACGCTTGGCCTCACTGCCTGCAACGTGCATTTCCCTGCTGGAAAGACCTCGCACACTTCTAACACTGGGAAAACGAAAATTGCCCAAAGGGAAAAAGTACAAAAGGTTTGCCTGTGCTACAGGAAACTGGAACTGCCAACAGTCTGCTTTGCTGGACTGAGGATGTCGGCAGGACTAGGGTTTAGCAAGGTATCAGCAGTGTGTGCATGGACAGAAACACAGAGAAAGAATCGCCCAAGCCAGGCTCTTCTCTCTCAAATCAACATGGAATACAGAAATAAAAATTTAGCAATGGGAGCTCTGTACAGTCTCGAAATTCAACCCATGAAAAATTCCAGGACTGTTCTCATTTTATTACCTTCCCAAATCAGGATGCAAATCTCAGTTTCTGGATTTTATCTATGCATGGATTAAGGCATACAGCTTTCACATAGGTGTATAATATTTCATTTCAGCAGATGAAGATGTTCTGTGTCATCTCTCTCTTTTTGATGCTCTTTAAAACAATGCAGTCAAAAATGCAACATGCTTCATGATTACAATTTCCTGGAAAAATGAATAAGCAACAAAATTCTTACATTTCTGTGAAAAGTTTGGAGTTAATCAGATCATCATATTCCAGTGGAAGACTATTCCCTTGGGAGTTTCAGACCAGCTGTAACTCCAGCATTTGGAAATAGTGGAATATCAGAACCATGAAAACCTGGGAGCTTGCTGTGACACTGTAGGGATGCCCATCAGTCGTGGGAGCACTGCGGTGCTTAAGTCTTACTTTCTCATTCTCCTCCTCAATTTGAAATCCTTCAAACCTCTTATCTGTCTGTATTATGTATCTATGAATACATAGGCAGCACAGTTTGTGTGCAGGGATAAACCAGGTAAAACTCCAGTAGATGGCGCTCAAAAATATCCAAAATTGGTGTCCCTGCAGGAGGCCAACGGGACCTTGGTGCTGTGCAAAGGGTGCCGCGTGGGCAGCCCTGCGGCGCTGGGGATTCGGAACAAGGCGCTGGGCTGGCACTGCCATGTTCCAGCTGCTGTGATGCAGGTACTGAAATACCTTTGCCAAGGGAAGAAAAGTTTGGTTTATTGGTTGTTGGGGTTTTTTTTCCTAATTTTAAAAGGCAGCTGAAGGTGTTGATCCTATTACATGTAATCACTCAGCTTGTAAGAGCTGAAACATTAGCAATAACTTGACCATCTTCAAACCTCGTTTGCTTCAAGCCTGGATTTCATTAAATCTAAGCTGTACCAGTTTTGTTCCAGATCAGGCAATGACTGCCCCAGTCACTGGATTTTCTTATGAAAAATACTTCCAGGAAAATGGCTAAGAGACCAGAATGTTTCTTTACAAATTTGTTTTAGAAGCCAGAGTGATGACTGAAAAGCTGTTTGCTTGGGTGACAGCAAAGGTCATTCTTTCAAGCACCATCAGCTGGTAGGCAAAGAATGACATTTTCTTTGTCTCTGTCTAGCTAAAATCAAAACAGAAGTGGCAACTCAGATGGTCATGCATGACATACCCCATTGATTCCAGGAGACTAAGCCAATTCTCATGACCAGTGCATCTGCCTCCAGCACTCTTAACTAAGGAGAGCTCTTGAGTTACATGATGTGAAGTATAGTGGGATTTCAGCTCTTCCATTACACAGAAGATGAGGAAAAATGATCATGGTTTGATTCAGAGACACAGACATCTCACCACATGAAGCCAGAGCTAGCTTGTGGGATCAGACAATTCTTACCCATAAAGCTGCAAAGGGAGCAGGGAGGTGGTGAGCACTGGCTTACAAACAAACTTTCATTCCAGCTCCAGCCCCAACATGCCTGGCCCTTCCAGCAATTATTCTGGCTCTCAGCCATCAGCCCTGGGAAGAAGCTTCCTTTGGGGGAGTGCATTTTTATGCTGCAAGCATTAAAAGTGTACTTATCTCAGGCTATTTGTCCTTACATCTAGTCAAAGGAGCATATGTGTGCGTGTCTATGTGATCTTTTCTCTTTTTTTACCAATCCAGAACAGCTCAAGATATTAAAACAAATGGACTAGTGACTTTGGGTTTCAAAATGGGATGTCCTTCAGGAGAGCACAGCTACCTCTATAGCTTTGAGATGAGCAGCAAGAGGACTAATATTCCAGATTAATACTCCAAGTAGCTCAGAGAAGAATTGCCATATGAGAACCTAAACAGATTTTGCCACATGTGATCTGGCAGAGGAGTGAGTGGGAATAAGAAGTCTTTCTATCCTCCTCTCTGCACTCTGCCCAGTGCCTATGAAGGATTTTGGGACACCGGCTACCCAGATTGACTGGGGGCTACTGAGGTAATCTTGGAGAATGTACACTTCAGTTTGCACCATGTCATAAACTGAACCCAAGTCTCATTTAAGGGATGATTTGGGCTCCCCTAACTCATCATTTAATCTCCCAAGCATTTGTCCTGCTAAATACTGAAGAGAACTACCTTTCCCAGAGACGAGAGTGCAGTATCAGGAGAAAGCTAGCTGCAAAATATTCAAACTCCTGTTCCCACCCAATGCATTCTCCTGAAGTGGTGAAAGTTGTTCAACGAAGCTTTTGTGTTCTTTTGGGGAATCTCAGCTAATTCACATGCAGGCCTACTTTGTACTTTTGTTTCCTTGTTAAGCAGCCATTGTACTATCCTCAGCACAGACAGAATGCAGGGGAGAGAACAAAGAGCAGCCGGCAGTAAGAATGTGACACCATCTCTTCCCATGCAGCTCTGTTGCCGCAGCTCAGGGAGGCTGGATGTTATTTTAGTGGCTCTGCATCCCACCCATGCGTTTCTGTGGGTCCTGTGGCTGTGACGCCTTGAGAGCGCGAAGCTTATTCATGTTCAGGAATGGGAGGGTCAGGGCCATCGACACACACCAGCATCCTGCTGCCTATTATTTCCTGCCAGTGCTGGCGTCGCACCAAGCCCTAACATGACAGGTGGATGGAGTTCACAAGGAAATAATGTCATGGGCCAGTTTTCCAGGAAAGCTGTTAACTCTATTCACAAACTCGGGCCTTCAGATTGAAAGGGAATGTGGCTGAGAAGAGGTGGTGAAGGGCTGCTCTGGTGTTACTGACTTTTTTTAATAGATGATTCACTGACATCTCCTGCTGCAGTACAGAAATCTTTACCTCTATGTAATGCCTACCTCTTCTAGAGTAGACTGTGGCTGAATGCTTTCTAACTTCCAAAAGCAGAGGGGCACTGCCTCTGCAAATCCCAAATGGCCATTTGATTTCAGTCAGATTGCAAAGGATGTATGAAATTCAGCTCCTGCCTTTCACTGAGCTAACTGGTTCCTGGGAAACAGAAAAGGAGAAGAAATACGAGGTGAGATCTAACACTGATCTTAACCTGGAGACTTAGGTATTTTATAGGAAAAAACCTGAGGATACAGGCAAGGATGTATCAGAAACAAGACTTACATATTTATACAAATCTCTGTCTTTCAACAAGGTACTTGTGTAAAGCTCTGCTATCCCTCCATGACTTTTTGCAGTGCCCATTTGCTGTCCTGTTCTTTGTGTTCTCTTTCTTCTTTTCCTCTGTTTTTAAAGTTTAATACATTTTTCTCTTAGTCTGCAAAGCACAGAAAGTGAAGAAGTGAAGCAATCAACACAAAAATAAGCGCTTTTCAAAAACACCATGTTTGCCACAAATGCAAATTTTTGGGTGTAGGAGTTAGGACAATAGGACTCCAACTGCCTGCTCACAAGAGGAAGGATTAGGTCCTCTGTCATGTTAATAGTGACATCAACAACCTGAATAAAAGCCAAAAATTCAAGTTGATTCTGCAGTTTAAGACCATTGTTCTCCCATGTGGTTTAGTCTGTAAGATATAGTCTACACATAGAACTTTTCCAGGATTTATATAATGTTTCACATCATACAGTGCAATTCTTGGTATGTTAATGTACTTTTACATATCAAAGCCCTTTGTAATTGACAAAGATTTATACTGATATAGCTAAAAATTCCCTACAGCTTACAGGCATCAGAGGTATTGGAAATACATATGCAAAAAGATGGCTGCCAATATTGTTCTGTTCTTATTTCAGAGCCCATTGTAAAAACAAATCAGGTGAAACCTGCTAATAATATGCAACAACCTCCACATCAGATTAAAGGAGCATTAGCCCTGGACTTTGGCTCCGGATAAGCAAAGCTGAGGCAAGAATACGGGATATTCCAGAGGGCTTGTTCCTGGCCTGACCCTTCCGGATCCTGATGAGACTCTCAAGCCTTTCTTCATTCCGTACTCTGAGCCCAGTTCCTGTTCTGTTGAGCTGCAGTAATGTTGTACATTCGTTGTTTGGTAACAGGAGCTCTCCCGAGTGTCCAAGGCAGAGGAACATAATTCTTGAACACAAGTCCATGAATCTACCCTTTCTTTCTCTCCCTCTTTCTTTAGTTTCTTTGCAAATTCTGGTATTAGACCCACGATCACGTACAAGTCACATCACGTTGGTGACTGGGGAATCGTAAATTGGGCATTTAGACTTGAACAAATACTAAGCATTGTCATCCTAAACTGATTATTATTTTAAATACTGTCCTGGGCTATAACTGCCTTTGTGTACAATAGCAATACAGGGTGTAGTTACAGACACAATTTCCTGTGCTTAGGGTTTGAAATTATTATTTAAGATCACCGTAACGTTTGCCCGGTGCACCAGCGCAATTCCCCTATTAGATAATTTTCTATCCTTGTGAGGGCAATTTTGCTTGTGCAATGCTGCCAGAGCTTTCAGGAAGGGAGAGACAAGCAATTGTGACAATAAAATTTGCATCAGCTCCCACCCAACCTCTCCCAGAACTGAAATACCATTTGTCGCATTCAAAGCGTTTTTGCAACAGAAGGGAAGGTGTTTCTGAGCTGGAAAGTCATTGTGATCTCCACAGGGTTGCATCCTCCAGGCTGACTTCTGCCGCTCAGGTTCCCATGAGAAACATCAAACAGCAGTTCTGGAGTTCCATATGGCTTTGTAGCAAAGACTTGCTGGGTTGCCTGGCCCAGCATCCAAGCATGAAACCCCAAATCAATCCAGTCATGGGGTTCAGAAACTGAAGCTGAAATTCTGCTGTTTGTAGCTGACCAGTTTGATGAGGTTGACCCTTGTAAAAAGCACTGCAGATGTGCCCTTGTAAAAAACATTTCAGATCTAACAAAATTACCAGTTTCTGGAAAATGAAGGTGCCAAACCTGCCACACTGTACTCGTGTAACACCTCCCTCAGAACAACTCGAGGTTTAAGGGCTAAGAAGGTATTGTTCCTGTGCTGGAACCAGCACCAGGGGCACAGGGAAAGTAATGAAAAAGTCCGTAATATGTAGATTTGCAGGAATGAAAAACATAGACTGTAAGACTTGTGTTGGATGTCATCATTGGTCATTCAGCAAAGAAGCTACTGCTACTTCAGGTTGTCCCAAAATCAATGCACACAAATCATGGTGGTGAAGTCTGTGCCAGTTTCTAAGGCCTTGTGGCAATTCAGCAGTGAAACATATGAAAACGTCTTCAACAGCATAAGGTCTCTGACTAAACTGTTCACAACCTCTGCCTTGGACACCAAGACCAAGTGCTGGGATTTTTCCCCATAAAGTTAATATTTTGCTTTTCTGAGTAAAGGACGAACAAAAGTGAATTCTTGCACAGACTTCACTCACTGGTTGATACTGAGAGGCTTGTGCATGTATGTTGTACCACCAGGATAGAGCTGATGCTGCTGAGCTCAGCAGTTTGTGCTGTGGCAGCCCTGTATTACCTAGAGGCCTCTCAACCTGTCTGCTAGCTGGTATCCTGGGACCATGCAGTAGCTGAAACTTTGCTTGCTAGGGCATCACGCCTAGGGTCAGCACAAGGCTGGCTGTCACTGCTCACATGCTGCTTAATGCCTGGATGCCCACACTTAGCAAGGCAGAGGGTAGTGCAGGCACTGTGCTGCATCCTTGTACGTTCAGGGCAAATATAAAACAGAGTAGAGATAGATAAGGGAAATCTCTAGCAGTATCAGAGCAACTCTGACTCATATATACTTTCCCTGGAAAAAAATGCTCCACAAAAGCCATTGCCTCTGTTCCACTGAGTTCAGCCTTTTCTTTTGACTTGGAGCAGAGGCTCACCTTGCACCTCTGCTTCCCTTCCGCACACCGTGCGCAAGCTTGCCTCTATCACAGCAATGGCGAAGGGAGGACCCGCGCATGGGAAAGGCTTCTGCAGAGGACAACAGACTGGGAATGATGGGGCTGAGCTGCTCCATGTGTGTAGTGCAAATCCCTGCATCTCTACAGTCCCTGCAATTCTCTCCTCGGCAGCCTGCAAAATTCCACTGAGAAAAAACAGAAGTGGGGAGGGGGAAGAAAGAGTCAGAAAAACTATTGTGTTCCTAGGGGGGCAAGAAATAAATAGCCCTATTTAGCTTATCCAGCTTTGCTGATGTCAATCACTTTTCTCATTTTAAACAGGAAAGACACCACTTTAGTTCCACCTGTTCCATTATTTATCATGCTATGCATTTCCCATAAATTGTCACTCATGCAAAACCTGTACATCGTAAGGGGACACCCTAATATTTTTAATGACCTTAACCAAAGTGATTGACATTAGACACCGGTGTCAGATGTTCTGGTGACGCAACATGTTCTCCTAGCAGCAGGAAAGCTTCCTGCCGTGATTAAGTTAGGGCCATGGAAGTGCTAAAATGTGTTGTCAGCTTTCCTCTGATGCAAGTGATTTTATTATAGCGTCTGGTAACCACGGAGTGTGGCAACGCAAATACTGACTCCAAACATCCCCTCCCATACATACAGCTTGCTCTATTTAAAACATGAAGTGCACTGCACAAATCCAGGGATAGATTATGGATGTAACAAGCTTAAACCATGGAGGGCAGAGGAAAAGGTGGCACCTAAGCCAGAATGCTGAGTGATTTCAGGAGGTGAAGCATACAGCTCTGGGATGACCTGCGGAAGGCAACCCCCTGGTTGGCAGGGATGCTCTGCAGTGGCATCACCACTGCTGTTGTGGATGCCAGAGGCACCAGAGGGCAAAGAAGAGGCACATTAATATCAGCTTCACTCGCTGCAGCAGTGGAAACTAAAAATCACATCCAGCCCTTTTGAGTCAGGAAAAATTAAGGACAAAAAAACAGAGAGGGGAAAAATAAAGAGGGCTCCATGCAGCCCCTCTGCCTTCTGACACCCTCACACACACTGGGATGGAAGCCTGTGACTTGGCTCCACACCACTTGTCCTTCAGGACAGAGATAAAGAAATAACATTCTGGTTTGCTTCAACTCGGGACCAGCCCCTCAATTATTCGTTACCTGAAAAAAAAGCTGGAAGACCTCTGGAACACAAGAGTTACAGAATCAAACATCTTAGGCACACACAAGGGACGCCTGGCACCTGCTTTTCTAAAGATCCATAATCCCAAAGCTCATTCAGCAAACAGTTACTACACAGATGACTTCACTTCCACAAGTAATCATTCATAGTTGTGTCTAAAAGTGACCATGCCAGTATGTGTCTGCAGAACTGACCATTATGGTTTTCCAGTAACAGAGTTGTTAACCTGCAAAAGGAATGGGCCATCAAACTACAATACACACTCTACAGAGATTCTGGGAGGAGATCAGCAGTACATATGTTCACAGTTACTGTTCTACAAAAATAGAATCATAAAGCAGTCAAAGTTGAAGATACAAGATATCTTGATAGCAAGAACAGATTTTCTAAAGGTCTAGCAGCACTGAATATTATTTTAATGAAATTTACTTTTTACTTTTATAGCAAAATAATCCAAAGTGCTAAACCTGACTATTTTAATTTAGAAAACCCAGAAAGTCTCGTTTTAAGCCATAATCATACCCCGTTATTTAGGTTAGACAATATCATTATATATTTCTACCTATTTCTATTCAATAGTAGAACAAAATTAATATTAGTTGGTTTAAAAAAGGGGAAAAAGTACCACAGATATTGGGAGGGGAAAGTTACATAAAATACAAGAATCAGCTTATTGAGTGATCTGCAGTGTTTGGTTGTTATTGCTTTTTCTTTTTTGAGCTACAAGTCACAATCTGGCCATAAGCTTGTAGTCACCTCAAATGCTACGACTTCTCCCTTGGTCAAATGTCACAGTGTGTATTTTAAGGAGATTCTGGCATTTCAAGGCAGCTCAAACTATTCTTAGTTTTCACAAGTCCCTTTCCAACATGATCAGCATGTTGGAGAATGCAGCTGTGATGATGGAAGTCAGGATGATGCCGCTTTCTGTGCAGGAAAAGTGGGGTTTCCTCCGTCTTCAAAAGAATCACTACCAAATCTGCAGTAAGAAAAATATTAAGAACACTTGCAGACTTTCAAAGAGTATTTCTTAATCCATTCCATTTCCACTTCAGTTCATTTCCAAAGTTAAATTAAAACTTGCAATCTCTCCTACTGATAAATAGTCAAGTTGACTTACAAAGGTTCTGCCTTCTGTCCAGTCTCCTCCTGGTTGGCTTTAACCAAACAAGGTTCTCTGATTTGCCACAAGTGCTGTCTGGCTCTCCCGCCTCTTTGCTTTCTTGTTTTGCTGCCTGATTTTCCAGCACACTGCACTAGAAGCCAGCAAAAGGAGTCCTGATGACAAAAGGACTAATCCAAACACAGAGATGATCGATCCATGAGAATTAAAGCTGTATGCCACAGCAGTAACCACGATGCCAGCTATGAGGATAACCACCCCAAAGGGAATGGTACAGCGGTAACAGGAGAGTTCTGCTCCCCCTGTTGCTGCAGTCAGCTGGCACTCACTGACAAGAGGGATGGTGGTTATCACACAGTCATTGTTATTACACTTCTCCATGGTTACAGTACCAGGATGCTTTGGAGCGCCCAGAATCTCTTTAATAGGCTCGTTTGTCATCTTGATTGCCTTGACTCCGTCAGTTCTTAGGCTAGAGCAGGCACTGCAGAGCACATGGCGCACTGTGGAGAGAAGAGCATGAGTTCAACCAAGTGTTACTGTTGCATGACATATGGATGACAAGGGGTTATGGACAAGCTTCCTTGTAACACTACTGATTGTGGAGGATCTCAATAAATTCTTATAGTAGTCATCAGCATGTGCTAGAAAGAACACAGACCAAGACAGACACCAACCTTAAAGTGCTGTGGGCTAAATCTTACTTTAAGTCACATCCTAAAGTTGGTATTTCTGGATGCAGTTTAGATTTCAATGGCATTGCATCTTCTGATGAGGAGGTGAAGTTCAAAGGCTGTTTTGGTTAAAAATTCTGCTCTTGCTCGCACACTTTTTCACAGTGTTTCTTTAGAGCTACACCTCTACACACACATTATGCAGATTTGCTTCAATACACATCACAATAACATGGGCAAGAACTGGTCCAGTAAAACCCAGGACTTAATAGCAAACCTCTTCTCAGTGCAAGTGCTACTCAGTGAAAAATTCAAATGGTCATGACTAGATATGGACGTGGGGGTAATGGAGATTAAAACAGTTCCCTGCACTCAGCAAACACCAGCAGAAAGCAAAAGTAATGGGTCCCTTTTAAGTCATAGAGACACAGAATACAAGGCTGGAAGGGACCACAAGGATCACCTGGTTCAACTTTTCTTGGCAAAGCATGACTTAGACTAGACTTCCCAGCACCCTGTCCAGCTGTATCTTAAAAGTGTCCAACATTGAGGTATTTACCACTTCCATGGGGAAATTACTCAAGTCCATGAAACCACATCCATGTTACTCCATGGGAGGGAAATTTAGTGTCATACTCAACCATTCTAGTGACAGTAGGTCACTTTTCTCCTATTTCCACATTGTATACACACTTTCAGTCCTACAGAGAGCATGCATAATTTGATTCCATCTGCATTATGAGGCAAAACGGCTTTTGACTCCCTGTGCCTAGTGCCTAACTGGAGTCCATCTGATCAGGGAAAGATGAGCCCATGACTCTCTGCTGCTACAGGCAGCCATGAACAGACCTCATAATTCCTGCAGGGAATGTGGTGGTATGGGGGTTAGTGAGCGTCTGACAATGCCAAGGCTACCATGGCTGTGTGCTCAGTGCACCCCACCACATACAACAGAGACTGGGACACTAGGGAAGCACTAGGTTTTCCTTCTGCATGTAGTGCACAGGACTCTCCCACTACTCTCTGGTACAGGCTGTGTAGCTTTTGCTCTTATGAGCAGCATGATATGCAGCTCAGAGAAGAAGGAAGAGTGCTGGCAATGCAGTAATGCTTTTATCACTTTTATCACCTTCACATCTGTGACTAGGAAGTTAATTGCCAGATACTTGTATTCTCCTTTTCCTTTCCCACCACTCCACCCTTGTTGCTAAGATATATTCATCCATTGTGGAGAGCCCTTGGTTTTATATCTCAGTACCTCCTATAACTGTGTGTTTTCTGAGAAAAAAGATTTCTCTGTTTTTAAACACACACACAAACAGGCTACACTGTAGTCAGAGAGTTTGTATCGGAGTTTCCTTGAACCCTACTGACAGAAAGAAAATTTAGATCTGGTTTGACAAAGCTTTTGTTCTGCTGCCCTAAAGAAGAGCGCTCAGCTCAGTAGTGCTTCTTGCTGTACAGGGCTGTCCTCAGGGCTCAATCCCACAATGGGTTCAGCAGCTACAAGACAGAGAAGCCTCCTAATGACAACACCGAGCACAGCGGAACTGAGCACGCACACTGACAACACAAGAGACAATGGGCACTAACTGAAAACACAAGAAGGTTCAGTCTCAACATCAGGAAGCACTTTTTTACTGTGTGACTGAGCACTGGAACAGGTTGACCAGGGAGTTTTTGGGGTCTCCATCCTCAATACCTCAGCCACCTGAACAGATTTCTTTAGGTGACCTTGCTTGAGCAGGACACTGATGGACCAGATGACCTTCAGAGGACCCTTCCAGCCACAACCGTTCCACGATTTTGTGTCTTGCTGTGAAGGTGTCTGGTATCTCCAAGGGCAGAAACAGGACCTGATCAGTGCTTACTGGACAAAGCAAACAGATCTGCTCTCTGAGGTTCTGTTGCTTTGTTCTTCAAATTCTAATGTACGATTAAGTGCCTTTTAGATCAGACAAAAAGAGCCCGGGAAAGCCATGGGGTTGCTCTAGAGCACCACTGATCTGTCCCCACATGGGCCTGAGCCCAAGTTCTGCATTCTCAATAATGTCTTACATGGCAGCGAGACTCACTGGTGCCACTACGTTGCTGCATCACTTACCCATTAAATGTCACAGAAGTTCGGCACAATGGGAGAATGTGCTCCCTAAATGTCACCTTCTTTTGATCTTACTAATTGAATAGGGCTAATCTTTGATATTTGATAGCCATATTCAGTTAGTTCAACATTTTATTATTAAATTTGAGAGAGGGAAAAAAAATAACCATTTTCCATATAAAAGGTATTTCACATCCAAATACATTTTAATAACTATGCAAAAGTCTAAACACTCTAACGGTCACAGAAATAGGGAAAGTTCCCAATAACTTGAAAAGACTTTGGAGTGGGGTCATAGTGAACATGATTATCCTGAAAAAACTTCAGCATTCAGTCAAAGTATATTTATTCCTGTCCCTAGAGTCCTTGTCCCTCTGCTTCAGATACATCCCCAATGAACATTAATCTCTTAGATGTCTTGTACAGAGGTTTATGAAGAAAGGAGATGCATTTATATAGTCAAAACTAGCATTAATTTTGTAAAAAATCTTCTGAACTACCAAAATTAAATTAATGGCAAAATACCTTCTGGCTTCTGAGAAGCACATTTCTTGCCTGTAATAGGATGTAAGCAGCCAGGCATTCATAGAAAACAAATAAACAAACCCCTATTGAAAGACTCTAACTAAAATAAACAACAGAACCTATCTGAAGTGGGAGTAAAGGTATTCAGCCCTAGAAAATAAGGTACGAGATCCTCATTGCCAGCAAAGTCACTTCTGACTTATGCCAAGAGGTGACTTGGTTCAAGTTTCAGGGTAAGAAATTTAGGCGAAGATACCCAGCCACACCAGCATCCTCTCACTAATCATACCACAAGTACTGCCTTACGGAGCTATGGTGACTTGCAGGAAGAATGTGTTTCTCTGGCAATCTGTGGCTAACACCAGACAAAGAGGAGAGGAACGTTTTACCCACTAATAGTTGTAAGTTGAAAAGCCATGAAATCCAGCAGCGCACACACCTACCAGGTCCAGGAGAAATCCATCCGAACAAATCCCTTGGCTCAGTAAGCAGAGGAAGATGGCTTGAGATGTCTCGTATGTCAATTCAAGGGGGGAGTCATGCAGCAGTAAGCGCTGCTCCAGGCTGTGAAGTGTTCAGATGTTGCTGAACTGGAGGTAACAATATTCTAGCATGGAAGTTTCCTACAAGAAAAGTTGTTGGATATTTATCAGCTTCTTAAGAACAAAGCTCCTGCTGTATGCTGACTCCTGCTGCTAACCGAATTGAAGCAGGGGATGTTCTCCCTCTGGTTCTCCTAGGGGTTTCTGCCTCTCTTCTTGGCAGCAGCTGCACATTTCTGGCCCTATATAATTTTGCTTTGATGATGTGACATCTCAGTGATGAATGTCACAACCCAGGCAAGACCTCAGAAAGAGCTAGGCAGGACAAGATAATGCATGGGAATTTCTGTAGTCATAAACCTCATTTAATTTCATTTCTATTGCTCACTTAAGTGAATCACAACTTGGAGTACTTGGGGTTTTGCCTATTCTGTCTCCAGTTTCTTTGAGCAAATTACTCCATCTCCCTGTGCCTTGGTTTTCTCAGCTGTAAACCGGCAATAACAACATTCTTCTCACTAAAACCCCCTCTACTGTAACAAAACCCAAAAACTCCTCTCAGAAAAACAAACAGGCAAGCTAATTAAGTCCAAGAACTCACGGTAATAAACATAAGTCCATTATATTTGCTATTGTTAATTTCTGTTATTTGGATTTGTAAGAACAAGGTTCGTAACTCCAATAGGGACAAGGCAGACTCTGCAGCACAACAGTGATGGAAATTGTAATCAAGTGCAGAAACAGCTGGGAAGTCACTGAGCAGCTGGGTAAAACTCATGAAGCAGCAGAGATTTATGTTGCTAATCTTACTCAACATTCCCTTTCTGTATAGGCATGATTATGGAAGTTCATTTCCACACTGAATTTGGAGTCCTAAGTGGAGATGGGAATATATTCATGAGGATAAACTTGTATAATGATAAACTTTAAGGGCTTCTTCTCCTTTTAAGTTGCTTAGGCCATGCTAACAGCTCACAAACATTTACAGGCACAAACTGCTGCTGCTCTTCAGCTGATCCTTGGGAAAAGCCTGTGACACAGCCAAAGTATAATTAGCTGGTTAATGAAGGTAGCTAATAATAAAGGTCTCCTTGCTTATCTCCTTGACTACATTCTTGTCTCTACCAGCAACTAGTTTCACTTTTTGAAAAGTCTGGAGGGAAATGCAGGAAAACCCCCACCTCAGATAAATAATCCAGGTTACAGCAGACCAACAGCAGACCTCTGGAATAATCTTGCAATTTGCACACCTATTGTAAGAATGGTTATGGTTGTTCAAAAGGCTCTTCCCAGCACATCTGTGCCCCTCAGCCAGCATCACTCTTTACAAAGATTAATCTCTCTCTCAGTCATTTCTCTGGATTTGATTTGACCACAGACATTTCACATCAGTTTTTAAATCAACGTCTTTACCAACCCCCTGACTGACAGACCAAATTTCTTCCCCCCTCCTTCCCTCCCTCACCATAAAGCCAAAGAAGCAGGAATACGAGGAATCTCTACATTCAGCTTCCAAGATTTTAACTGGGAATCATTTCAATGTGGTGCTCTCAGGAGGCTTTCCACATGCTGACCCTCTCTGTGCAAGTGCAACGAGATGGTATTTCTCACCTACCACAACTGTCTCCCCTTTCTCACATTTACCCAGAAGCAGTGTGTCACATTAAGTTTTCTCCTTTACCACAGACCTGAGGCTGTGTCTTGCATAATATTTCAAACACCCCTTTTTTCCATATATAAATTCCAATAATTCATAATGCTCGTGCTTCACACTTGGGTTTGTGTTAAAGCAACTACGGAAACCAGTATAAGGAGTCAGTCCTCCCATACTGAGTGGAGAGAGAGAGTTCACTTGGAATCCAGCAGCCTGTGGTAACCCTGAACACAACCCTGCAACTCTTCCCCATGTGAACGCTCCTGGAAACACAGAACTAGGATTTGTACTTACAAGGCTCCAGTATCAGGCCCTGAAGCATAGGGAGGAGAACACGTTACACTCGTGCGTGCCAGCTCTCTGCGCCTCGGGATGCCCTAAGTTCCCATCACCAAGTTTTTCGGTAAAATAATTACCAGGTCTGAGCTCTCACACCTTTTTGGGTTTCCAGATGCAGCTGGGGCAGGACGGAAACCAGACAGCCCCCTCCACAAACAAATCGTTCTGTAACACACCACAGACACGGAAGCAAAGCACACGTGTCGTGCCTGTCCGCGCACACCTATGCAAGCGAGAGGAGCGGTGAATAGGCAGGGAAAGCCCAAAGCATGCCTCCGGCTGCCCGTACCGTGAGGCTTCCATTGCACCACCAGCCCCTGGGGCAAACCCTGTGCAGCGCAGGAGGGAGCGGTGCGGGAACCGCCTCAGGAGCCGGGGTCGGCGCACGGGTCCCCGCAGGGCCCGAGCAACCCCAGCGCGCCCCGCCGGCTCCGGGAACCGGGAGTTGCCGGGCAGAAGCCCCGCGGGCACTCAGTGTGTGCGGGTCCTGCGCCTGCGAGCCCAGCCGAGCCTTGCTATGCTATGCCGAGCTAAACCGTGCTAGACCATACTATGGTATAGTATGCCGAGCGGAGCCGTGCCATGCTGAGCTGAACTGAGCTGTGCTAAACTAAGCTGAGCTGAGCCGAGCCATGCCAGACCATGCTAGTATAACTATAGTATAGTATGCTGAACTAAACTAAACTGAGCTAAGCTAGACCATGCTGTAGTATAGTGAGCAGAGCCATGCCTTACCTCCCGAGTGCCGGGCAGGACTGCAGCGAACACCAGCCCGGAGCACGTATAAGAGGGGGATGCCGCCCGCTGCACAAGGGACTGTAAACAAAGTTCTTGTGAGAGCGAAACAATTGAGGGACCGGAGCAAACTCAGCGGCGGGAGCTGCGGCGGGCGGGGCTGCACTCACCGGGAAGGTCCCGCTCCAGCCCTAAGGAAGGCTGGCCGGGGGCGGGCAGGCGGGGCTGGGCAGTCCCTCGCCTTGTCTTGCCTCGCCTCGCCCTGCCCTCCGCAGCTCGGCGTTGCGCCGTTCACATGCCCGGCTCGGATGCGCTCGGTGTCTGCTGCTTTGTCCGGTCCCGCACCGTGCGGGGCTCTTCTGCACCCTGCCAGGTGAAACATGGGGCCGGGGGGTATCGTCCAGCCCTCTTTGTCCCCCCTGCACAGCACCATGGGGGGAGATGTATGTGTGTGTGTCTGTCCCCCAAGCAGCAAGACACCCTGGTCCGAGCAGACGAGGATTCGCTGCGGGTCCTGAGCCCTTAGGGGCTGGATGACACCGCGGAGCACAGCCAGGCCCTACTGGAATCCGGATGAACTCCCAGCTGGTGCTTCACTTCTCAGGCATTAAATGAACAGGAGCATAGTTTTAGATTACATCCTTAGAGGATAAAGCTTTTCCTATGCTTTATTCACTCATTTCAGCGGAACATTAAACTCTTCAGGGGGTTGGAGTGGAAGGGAATGGGTGTTATTTTTTACCATGCTTTCTGATCTTTCCCAACAGATTTTGCTTTTGAGGCTTGTAAAAGAATATGTTTGTATTGTGTGGTTAAGCTTACCCAAAGTTTATATTTAAAAGGCACTATTTTATCAATGATTGATAAAAGAGCAGTGCTCCAGATGTATTTAATCAGCCACTCTGTCTCTGAAAGCATGCATGTACTTTTTGACTCCCTTTCCAGGGCGAAATCCTGGCCTCAAAGAAATGAATAGCAAAACTTCCATCAACCTCACAGGAGCCAGGATCTCGCCCCGTGTATCATTAAGAACTCCCCAGTGATGGAGATCCTGCCAAGGATTCATCTCCTGCAGCTGAATCAGTCAGGAGGTTCTGGAAGAGCTCCACAACTTTATACAAGAAACTGGCACTTTCTTCCCTATTTGCAAGTGTTTCCTCCAAGCACATTGGCCTTTCAGCAGCAATGATAAGTGACTGCATCTGAGGGCAACTGTCCCGGGCAAGGAGCTCCTGGGCTGTTAAATCCAGGCCTTTCTTATACAGGCAGCAGTGCCAGGTAATCTCTTTATTAAACTTGCCAAGTTCCACCTCAAACCAACTAGATTTCCTGCTCCTGCTAGAAAGCTATGAGCTTTATTCTGTTGATGTCTAGGAACCTTAATCATGTTTCTAGCTGCATAGATTCATAGACAGTGATACATTCAGCCTTGGGCTGAAAGAGATGATCTTTCTTTTGGCGATTAACCCTCTAATGTCCTGAGGTAGAAATCAGACTCTCTCAGGCTTACTTTTGATCATCATTTTTTCAGATGTGGCCTTGCCAGTATCCTGCATGGATGTAAAATATTTTCCTGTCCTGCCAGAAATACTAATACTTCATATTTATCCTCTGATTGTTCAATATATCTGGATTTCTTTCCAGTATCGGTTCCATTTATCACTTTATATTAGAAATTCTTGCTATTAGCACGTATGTGCATGACCTGACTTTCACCCCATTCCTATTACATCAATTCCTCTCTAGTCTTTCCAGTGTAGTATTTGGTCCTGTGTTGACAGATAACCTCCCTCCTATGCTTACACCATCAACAGTTCCCCTAGTACATTCTTACTTTTCCATGCCAACTTTATTACTGAAAGTATTACATAAAATAACTCCCAATGCTGCTTTTTGAGAAAGTAATCTGAAGTACACATAAACAAGTGTCAAACTGGGCTTAGAATTCACATGTTTCTGAATAAATAAATGCCCTAACAATAGGCTAGAAAGTTACACTCTCTTCTAGACCTCATGCAATTGTAACTCCTTCTTGTGAAGCAGAAGAGCTGCTATGAGAAGTGATGGGAATGATGCCTCCTTTCAGTGCTGTGAGAGCAGTGGGCTGTCCCCTAAAAGGGGAGGTTTGTAGCTCCAGGACACAAAGAGGTCAAATACAACCACCCCTCTGGCCTTTTAAAACGGGGATGGCAGACTACCTCTGCCTTTTAAGGGCCTGCTGTGCTCAGAGCATGACTCTCCAAGGATATAAGGAAAGAAGTACCAAACATACCCGAAGCAGCACGTTTGGCACCTGTAGAAATGCAGTGCAAACAGCTGAGGAAACTTCAGGACTGAGCAACAGCTGCAGCAAGGGGTTACAGGTTCACAGTTTTGGACTGCCATGCTTAAATGCCTCATAGTTCCCCTTTAGGACCTGACCTAAATGACAAAATCTGCTCCCTGTGGCCTTAACACAGCTGCTCCGAGGAGGTGCAGCCCCAGAGGGGACAATAAACAGAAGCCTATGTCATTCTGGAACTCCTGCAGCCTATTGAAAGAGCTCAGTTTTACTCCTGAATCAAGCAGTGCTGTTGCTCTGCCTACTAAGACACACTTGTAATACTTCATGGCTTCATTTGAGTTCCTGACAGTCTCATGGGCTTTTAGAGCACAGCAAACAGTGACTCATTAATCTGGCAAAGCACAACCTTTGTGGGCTCCCTATTCAATTAGTTTTTCTTGCCTTTTCTCTAACTCTCCACTGAATTTTCCTTTATTTCATCCCTAAGCCCACACACGGACACAGCATGTCCATTGATTGCATTTACTGAAACTTTTAGAAAGCACTCTTTCAGCATGTTTAATATGTTGGAAATGGTCCTTACCATGTCCTGCTGTGCATGTGTTTCATGATGGGGAATGGAGTTCTTAGCAAAGCCAGTTAAACCAGAGAACATAAAACATTGTAGCTCCCCTCTCATTAAACCAGTTTCCAGCACCAGGGAGTTCAGCCCTGTTGGTTGATAGCTGTGCAAACCACCCACCCAGTAATCAGTCTCATGAAATGGATGTGCTTATAATGATAGTGAGAAACCTCCTTGCTGACTAGGAATATGGAAAGGAATTTTCTTTTAACTCCATTAGATCCTCCCCTGGTCAATTTCAGCTATCCTGCTGTGCATTTGAACTTCCTTATTCCCCTACTCGACTTTCACTTGATCTTCCTGCAGTGCTGAAGAAGACAGGACATCTGGAGCTGAAAACAATTATTCTTATCTCCTACTGCTTTCATAATTACACGAAGTTCACATTTGAAAAGCTGCATTCCTTATGGGGATGTGTGCTTTTCATTAACAGAGGGATGCGCCACACCAGCAGAAGCCAAAGCCTGAAGCTAGCAGAAGTCTGTTACAGAACCTCTGAATCTTTAGCCAACTGGAATCTCTGAATCTCAGCTTTCTGGCTGAGCTAGGAGGAAGCCTGGTAACAAAGACAAGACAATGTAATTTCACCATAACAGTGCTTTTTCTTAGAGGTTATTGCAGTAGAATCCAGTGAATTCAGCTGAGATTTAAGTCAGGGTAGGAATGAGCTCTTCCCATGGCTCTGCAGAGGGCTTTTATTGGTTTCCCACCTGCACTGAGTACCCCAAGGAATGCACAGGGCACAAAGATGTGGAGGGAAATGAAGACAAAGAGTTGCAAAAGTGACCTCCCCAAGCTCATGTAGTGGGTGATGTCAAGATGCTTTGTATGTCACTTCCCTGCTCTGCCAGTGGGTATGGCACACACTGTTCCCTCTTCTAATGCTCACTCTAATGAATATGGATCATTTCAACCACTGTAATTGACTCTGGCAGTAGACAGAAAATGATGAGCTGTCAGCTACCCTAAACAGGCCATCAGTTGGATTACTTCCTTTAAAACGAGGCTCTAGACAGCTTGGGAACACTGGTGAGAAGGGAAGGAATTATGGGGAAATCACCACTTGCCAGTAGTGTTCAGGGGCTGCTGATACACAGATATACAGGTCAGAAGAAGCCTTCAGATTCTCTTAGCTGACATCCTGCATATCACAAAGCATTCCATTTTACATTCAGCCCAAGATCAGGACTATGAAACCAAACTTCTCTGCTCATCTGAAGTATATTTTGAAGAAAATTATCTAGTCAAGAGATGGAGAAGTTGTCTTACCAATTCATTGAAATGTTACTGTTTAAAACCTATGGTTTATTTCTGGGTTTTGGGGGTTTGGGTTTGTTTTTTTTTTCCTGATTCCTTTATGTTAATTTTAACTCTTTAGCCTTTACCATGTCTAATGAGTCTTTTTTTGTCCTCCTCTACTACAATCCTTGGAACTAAATTTATATCTAACATACTGCATGCAGCTACACACACAGTTTTTCTCCTGCAGAACAGATGATTTCATATGGGATTAGCAGTAAATTACGTGTCTGATCTACAGAGGAATTAAGAAAAAGAAGAAAGCACTATTGCAGTAAGCAACAGTTCTCACTGTTCCCACTAAAGAAAGCTTCCCATCCATATCATCTGCTTTAGCATTACTGCTAAGGGAAATGCTTAGAAATAGTTGTACATCCACATAAACAAGTTAGGAAAGGAGAGGGTGTGGTAGTGACAACCATTTGCCAAATCAAGTCAAGAGCTAAACAGCCTTGCTTATCATCTGAATGACTCATTTTAGGTCATGCAGATGATTTGATAGTGCAATCCCTTCTTTCCTATAGAGAAGTTGTAAAGTTGCTCCTTTCCTCAAGGCCAGGTAGATGGGTTGCACCTCACAGTCTCGTTTATTTGCACTGGGAGGGAATGTGGCTAAAAGGTGTAAATCAAAAGTAAATATGGCCAAATGAAGAGGTGGGTCCTAACACCAGGAGTCCAGCATATTAAAGATAAATAATATTGAATAGTAGCAGGCAGGAAAACAGCAGAACTCCAGTTATTCTCTGAATCTTCTTCTGTTTGAATGGAGCTCTGTTGAAACTAGATAATACAGATAGAGTCATAGTTTGGCGTTAAATTCAACTCTATGAAGAAGGCTATTGCAAGCTAGTGTTTAATGGCCACTTAAAACCTCTTCTGACAGCTTGAACAGTGAATGTCTTGTGCTAGTTCTTTGCACTCTGGGTGCCTATACATGTAGGCAGGAATAGAAAATATATAGAATATATTTTTAGATAAAATATATACAATACATATCTCAGTGTGTCAGACAGGCTAGACTTTCTGCATGTTCTTTATGTGTTGGAAAAACAGATTTCCCTTTGACTCCCGCAGCAGAGGAGAATACAGACTGCCTTGCACAAGCACGGCTATCCTGGGAGATGCTATTGTTACTTTCCAGCTTCCTGGATGAAGAATTTGCTTCTTGCAAGCAGCAAAAGTCATGAAACAATTTGTAAGAAAGGCTTTTACATAATGCAATCAAGGGAACAACAGTAGCATAAGATTATAATTGGTCTGGCTGTGTATAATAGAAATATGAAAGTGCATACTGCATAAATGTCAGGACTATTCAGCACTTTTGCAAAATTTTTGGAATACACTGAGTGAAATGGAATGACAATAGTATATAAATATCTGCACAGCAGTAGAATCCATTGAAATCCCACATCTTTAGTTCATCTTCAAGAATTTCTCAAAGTGCACCACTGCCACACAGAGACAGACGCAGGAAAACACAATATAACTGGTAGCACTTTCACATATGGATACCCATATCCAAAGCATCTGAGGCCTGAAAACTTTAACGTAGTATGTTGCTTTTTTCATTTCTGGCCACATATGATTTTCAGATGGAGGAGTTGTCCTGTTCAGTGCTTTGATGCCACAGCATAGAATTCACTGGATTACTCAGAGCTGATTTCAGAAAGGGTGCAAGTAATAGAGATTATTTCCATTCTAAAAAACAGGTGGGCAATTTAGGTGCACTAATCCCATGAACAGCCCAGATCAGCAAGTTTCCTCGAGGTATCACTTCCCACTGAAAGCAGCAGCAGATGAATACCTAAGAAATATTAAGTATGCGGGTCAAGTCCTGGGCACTTTTGAAACTCCCCCTCATTGCCCTAGAATAGTAACCCTCTATTTTCATTCAGATAGTATTTAGGTCCTGATCCATGTGTGGGACTGGATCGTGCTGTAGCTAGGCTGCCTTTGGTAGCTGTGCTCAAGCTTGGGTTCGTGTTCCCAGAACCAGCTGCCTTGAAGCAGTTGCTATCCCCCTGTCTGTTGGGATAGAGCTCTAGGATATTGGTCTCTGCTATGTCTGAACTCCCCCAAGACTACAGCCCACTAGCCAATAGTGCAGATATTAAAGGGTTTGAGTTCAAAGTTTAGCTTCTGTCCCTAAGGTAAGGTCTTATGACATGCAAGTGATAAATAATAACACTTACGTAAACATACATGAAAATAGAAAATAAAGTCTCCTTTCAGAACTGTTTGTGCTTTCTTAGTACTCACCACTCCTTCTTTACCAAGAAAACAGGGCACATAGTAATGTCCTTTTTGAAAGCTTTGGTCCCTAGAGTAGCCTTGGGAGATAAATCTCTTTTTCCATGAGAGTGTTATGGGAGGGAGGGAGTGGCCAGGCAGCTGTAGCCAATGTACAATTCTAATGCCGTGTGGACAACAATATAATACCAAAGATCTACTGTAAAACAAAACAACAATGTTGAGCTATGATCACTTCAGTCCTTTTGCACAAATAAGGCTCCTTAAGAGGTCATGTAATCCTACAGGCACACATCCTTGCTGTAGGTGAAACACTAGCTTTTGACTCACAACTCCTCCTTTTTCATATGGGGTGAAAGTCATCCGTGTACAAACAAGAGCCATGAGCTCTTTGTGTCTCATTTGAGTCCTAGTTCAGAGCATGAATGGGATTTAAAAGTGAGATAGAAATCTGGTAAAATCACTGCAAAAGTAAAACTACCACTTGAAGAGCTATTTCTGTAAGATAAACTACATCAGTCCCACCATTGTCTCATATTCCATTTTAAAGAGCAGATCCTCAGCTGGGTGAGCAGCACAGCTCCACTGAAGTCACTTTAGCTCCACCAAGAATTTACTTGTAAGGCTTCAGCCATAAGAAGCGTCATGTTTTGGAGAACCAGCTGGGCTGGTGGGCACACCATTGTAATTCACAAAGAACACAAACAAGCCAAAATATTTTACATATATTGTATAAATATTAACAATAAAAGGTCATAATACATGTAAGCATATTACAGAAGTCAAACACAAGAACTGGAATGTTTGCCTAGTTTCATTGGGAGGTGAGAGCAGGTAGTGTGAGAGCAAAGACTTGGCAACTGTTAGGGACATTATCTTAGGAAGATGCTACAGGGCAAATTCTGGCATCAAATATACATGATGGGGGGAGGTTGTTTGGTACCATCTTGCCTTCTCCCAAAACCCTCTCTCCAAAAGTTCTGTGGACTGTGCACGAATGCTCAGCCTGTGTGTCCAAACCAGAGTCATCCAGAAATGCTCAGCTCTGCTTGCAAACCAATCGTCTGGAACTGGAGAGGACAGCTGACATAAGTGAACTCTTTGTCAAAGAGCTCAGCCACTCGGCAGGGAGCTAGAAAAAGCTAACTTTTGCCAGCCTTGCACAGAGGTTACCACCCAGTGCATTGCACTAGTGAATCTGCTCTTAGTCAGTAGGTTTGATGATGTCCCGTAGCTCAGAGTTGCTTGTGTTTTATTCTGAAGACACAGCGTTCAACAGGAAAGTCTCACAGGAATTAGAAGAAAAAGGTTGGAATGAAAACAGGCTTACAATCCCAGGGAGAATACCTTCTTTAGCCTCTTACATTTTGATGACCTGAATGCACTGAGTGCCTATGCCAGCCTCACACATCATCATATTGTTACAGGTGGTGTCATTAGCCGTAGTTTAAGTAGGATGTGAGGAGTGTCCCCATCAGTGAGCTCCTCCTGCCCAGGAGCTCAGACCAGTGGCAGTTTTGTCCCCTTCCATCCTGTCCATCCCAGTCCACCGTGGGCCAGGGCCTGCTTCCATCTCTCTTTGCTGCCCACTTTGTAAGCTGGTTGGGGTGTACCTGTGTCCAACACACTTACCAGCTGCTGCACAATGTTTATGGGTGCATTATATATAAAATGATAGAATGGTTTGGGTTGGAAAGGATCTTAAGATCATCCAGTTCCAACCCCTCTGCCACGGGCAGGGACACCTTCCACTAGACCAGGTTGCTCCAAGCCCCATCCAACCTGGCCTTGAACACTGCCAGAGATGGGACAGCCACAGCTTCTCTGAGCAATCTGTGCCAGCACCTCACTGACCTCACAGTAAAGAATTTCTTCCTTAAATCTACCTGAAATCTCCCATTTAAGTTCCTCATATGAACCACCCATAAGGAAAACTGCTTTTTAAAACGTGAAAATACATATACAAAAATACATGTGCCCATAGAGACTCTTCAATCCCAGTCTTGGGGGACACCCGAAAAGCCAAGCTCTGACTCACACACCAGCAGAACCTGACCCTGTTCTGGCCCGGGACATAAGACATTTAAACACCACCTCCCCAAGCGCGGCTGACAAACCAAGACCTTATCATGAAACACGGAGCGGCCGTTCATCCCGGCGCACCCTACATCCTCCGCCCCCCGCACCGCCCCGGCCCCGCAGCCCTCTCCCTGCTGCGCGGCGGGGGCCGGTCGTGGTGCGCGGAGGGGCGGTGCCGGCCATTGGCCCCGAGCTCGCCGCCGCCGCCACGGAGAATGGAGGCGCCGGCGCTGCGGGGCTTCCCCGAGGAGCAGTTTCGGGCCGCCTGCCGGGAGCTGGACCAGCCGGCGCCGGCGGCGGGGGGGCCCTGGCAGCTCCTGGTGGAGAGCATGGGCGTGAGGATCTACCGGCTGCACGACGAGGTGGGCGGGCCGGGGGAGCTCCCCCCGCGCCGGGGGTGGCAGTGCTTGGGCCCTGCCCGGCCCTGAGCCCCTCAGGGAGCGCCTGCGGCGCGCAGCGGGGAGAGGGACACGGAGGGTCGGGGCAGCGGAGCGGGTAGAGCCGCCGGGCCGCGCACAGGGCGGGCTGGGGCCCGTTGCCAGTCCAGGTGCCCCCGGCCTCGGCTCGGTTTCTCCAGGCTGCCGGAAAGCAGCTTTCAGGGTAATGCTATTAAATGCTGATGAGGAAGCGGCTCCGCTGCGGTGAACGCCGCCCTGAGAGGCGGTGCGCTGGGAAACCCGCACCCGGTGAGGCCCTGAAAGCTCGTTAACAGCCGGTGCCGGGGACGCTCCTGCTGGAAGGTGCTCCCGGCCTAATGGAGTGTTCTCCCTGAGAGTCCGCTCTAGCAGTGGTAGTCTGGGAAACTGAAGGCAGCTGTTATATTTCCTATTGGCTTTCCAGCTCCGTGCTGTATTCCCACCCACTGATTGAGAACTTGAAATGTTCCACGCTTGGTTTAACTTTCTTATTGTGAATTGCTGGTTTTATTGAATGTCTGTTTTACCTCCTGAAGGGTGTACTGTTCACTTCTCAGATCAAATCTGTGATTTCATACTGTTACCAAAATCCTCCCTTTTTTTAGTGGAACATATTTAATGATATATGCCATGATTTGTCTAGCAGTGGTACAAATAGACTGGGAGAGAACACCATAATTTCTTGATCTGTCTTGAGTGACAGTATAAGAACTTGAAGGCTACAGATGTAATGACTGAACTGACATTAGGAGCCTACCTTTGAATGTAAGGTAGAGTCCCATGTGTTAAGTCAGCACAATATATAGTGCAACACTTGCACTCTCTAGTGACTTCTGAATAATGTGACAGTAAATGACATTGCTACAGCTCTATTTTAACCTCTGATGGAGGGTTTACCTATAACAAAAGTGCTTTGAAGACCTATATTGTTCGTGTATCTTTTGATAATCCTCAATTAAAAAGTATTGCAGCCACTTCCAGCTGCTGTAGGGTGGTTTGTGAAAGCTTTAGAAACAAGCAATACAATGTAATAGTTTGTTGTCCTAAAAGTGTGGAACTGTAGCCTGCCCTCACTAAGGTACAAAGCAGACACTTCTGTGTCTTTGAGGCAGGCTCTGACAGCTTAAATGAGAAAACAGCTGCATGACTTTCTTCTATCAAACAGATTGAGAGAAAGCCAAAGGATGCAAAGGATGAGTGAGTGTGCTGATGAACAGCAAGCTTTGCATGGCAACTGCAGAATGAAAGGTTTCGGTGAGCTTGGTTTGTTGCCTCTCAGGATGCAGCCATAATCAAAGTCCAGGAAAATAATAGAAAGAATATTTTGGAAGCCCCAAATTTTGTGCTCTGGCATATGCTGTAGGATCTTGGCTTAATTTCAGCTGTAATACTTTAAAAATGAATTTTTCCTTGTGAAAATAAACGTGGATGCCTTTAACAAAGATTGTAAGAGTGTGTGGAGCTGACCGGTTCAGGTTGGAAGCTTGTGACTGATGCTTCAGTGAAGCCACAGTAAAGATGAATAGCTGAAGAATTATTATCTTTTGGTGTATCAGTTCTTCATCTTCTGAGGTTGATTTGTGAAGGGGAGGGGAAGAAGTAAAATCAACCATTCACTGACAGAATGTTGTATAATCCCTTCCTTCCCTTGAGAATGCTTGAATTTGACTCCTACACTGTACATTCAAAATACTCTCTTTGTTTTAATTTAGTCTTGAGCTGGTACTAACAATAGTACAAACGTTCTATAGGCACAGATGGAGTTTCCATATGTTGAAAGTAACATTAAAAGTGTTAACACGGGAGATATCCTGCACCCCACCCCTTCATTGCAGACAGCTTTCAGAAAGAAAATAGCTGATAAATATTGAAGGCAGCTATAATAGTGCATTGTATATAAGTGTGAACATTGTAAAGCATTCTTATATCACAGCTAGAAGGATAAGCACACCTACTTTGCTGGAAAGCTTATTCCAGATGGTGCAGTACTTGGTAACCTCCTGGGAGGTTACCTGAGATTCTTAAGCATGTTATAGAGGGTCTGGAGGCTTTGCCACAGGAATTTAATGCTTCTGGTAAGCTTTGGTGTGGGCAGGATTTATTCTGCGTTGACCACTGGAGATGAAAAGTGGGAATGTGTGTGAAGAAACATGCTCCCTTTGGAGCGGCTTACGAAGTAAAAGGGTACTGGTGTAAGGGAAGGAACAACCATTGTGCAGGGCAGGTCAGCCTGTCTGGATTTACACTTTCATGTGTAAATCAAAAAGTTGAGAGGTTAAAGACTGAATCTCACATTGTTTTTTGAGCACTTCTTTCACAACTCTTGGGCAGATTTGTAGTATGTGCCCCACCTAACTTCCTTCAGCTGTTCTCCCTGCTGCAGAGTGCTTCCCTTTCCTGTGTGACTTTTCCTCTCCCCATTCTGTTTCCACAGCAATCAGGACTTTATGAATATAAAATCTTTGGTGGTCTTGCTGACTGCTCCCCAAAATTGTGTGTGGATGTCTATATGGACTTGGATTTCAGAAAGCAGTGGGATCAGTATGTTAAAGGTAAGCTTCTCTAGGCCATTTAAATCCAAGCTTTATGTTCACATTGACTCTTCCCACCAGAAGTTTCAGAGGTATTTGAAGTTGCTGCATCCAAAGACTTTGAGCCAGACGTAAGTATCTTTGGGGATAAGGTTTCACTCTGCAAATACACAGGTAAACGCTGGCATTCATCACCATACACCTTTTTTTTCTGGAATGAATTATTTCCATGTTGATTAAAGCACACAACTGGCGTCACTTTTTATGCTGGAGCACCTTGTATGTTCTAGTTGTAATTCCTTAGTTAAATTTTAGTAGAGGTATTGGGGAGCAATGGAGATAGTACCTCTTCTGCATCTTTTCATATTGCAGTGGAGCAGTGCAGTCACAGAATCATAGAACACCGGATAGGATCAAGGATCATCTGGTCCAAACTTTCTTGCCAAAATCAGAGACTAGACAAGGTAGCCCAGCAGTCTGTTCACCTGAATCTTAAAAGGTGTTGGGGAATCCACAACTTCCCGGGGGAATTATCTCAATGGCTGATTGTTCTCCTTGTGAAAAATATTCCTCTGGCTTGTACCAGTTTTGGTACATGATGGAATGTCTTTTCCTGAAAGCACTGGTTGCTCTTGGCACTGGTAACAATTAGAAATGGGTGTATTGAGAGAACAGTTGGTGACTTCGGGCTTTTGCAGAGAAAGGAATGACTAATTTAGTTGTGTTTATTTAATGTTGTCTATGAAAAAGGGAGTTGAACCTGGGTATCCATATGGTGTTAAACCATCTTAAGTCAGCAGTGACAGGGCAAGGATTCAGCTGATGTAGGCCTGTGCTTAAAGTCAGTTCAGGCCAATAAAAATGAAACATGTTTTGCTGAACAAAGAAAAACCAAAGAACTGTTAAATGTTGTGCTTGTTAAGTCTAGGACAGCTCTGTGGGGAATGACTGCTGGTGATGCCTTTGGCTGTATGGGTACAGAACCACATATTTGACTCATGTCAGTACTTGGTCAAGCTTAAGAAGCTGTGTCTTCATTAGTAAGTGTTATTTGTCAAAATAGGCAATGGATTTCTTATAGCAAAGGTCACTTTGCCATTAATGAAACAACAGCCAGAGTGGATTCAACATTATCATACTGATGTAGAAATAACTGTTATCTTGAGTTACTTCAATAGTTGTCAAGTGCATTTAGGAGAACTGAATCCTTCTTAAATAAATACTGCTTTTTTTCTTAATGCCTCCTTAAAGAAAGGAAAGGAAGCAGTTCAGGGAAGCTACACCCTGAAACTGAAAGCTACATAATATTGCAGAGCTGGCGTTTATATCCTTGCTGACCATCATATGTTCATCTGTGAATTTGTACTTGTGATGGTACTTCAAGTCCAGTGTCTCACAGAAGTTAACTCTTGGAAGGTTACAAACACAGTGTTAATGCTTTCCTCTTAGCTTACCAATTGACACAAAACCACCCATTCTTCAGAACTGTAAACGGGATGAAACAGTGCCAGCAACTGTTTTCAGTGTTAATGATATAAGCTCAGGTTTTCTCCTTTCATATTCAGGGAGAAAAAACAGAGCCTTTTAATTCAGAGCCTTCTTGCTCTTTGTTTCACTGTTTATATTCCTTGTTGCTCTTAGAACTATGAATAATGGCAGTGCAAAGAAGAGTTCTCTGCTGAACTGCTGTCTGGCATTGAAATAAAAATGTGACTAGAGTAGATGTAGCTGCCTTTTTAGCTGAAAAGGTAACTGTTTCTGCACACGGCAGAAGAGGAAGTTATCTCTGTCCTCTAGTTATGTTCAGCAAAATTCTTTCTGAAGGCCTGACTAAAAGCAGATATAAGAAGGGTTCTTACAAGTACTTCAGATTGTTCTGCTTTGATCTGTTCTTCCAGGGGTTTGCCTGAGGCTTCAGAAACTTTGGTTACCAGACTGTTACTGTTGTTGGCATTGCTGTTAGTAGTCTGGCTCTTTCCAAAGCAGGCTCCTGGCTATCCCGAAGATGTGGACATTCTGAGGCCACATTCTGAGTGTGGAAACTGCCAATTCAGCAGGAAAGCTGTGTCTAAACCAGGAAATAGTGATTGAGGTACCATATGCTTCTGTGGCATGATCCAGAATGGCTGGGCCAGAGCTATCTTGAAATTTGCTCCTCCTGATTGCAAGAGTACTGATTGAGCTCATGGTAAAACAGTTTAATGGTAATAACTGACTGCTAAAGCAGCAAATGCAGCTGTGCCTATTATGAATAGAACAGCCTTGTGATTGATTGTGGTAATGCTAAGTGAAGTCTGGTTATTGATGAAAATATGCTGTATTCTGCTTTGGCCGGAAGCTGCCCACTGGTATTGACAGACTAAAGTGATACAGATGGGACATGACTTACCTATTGTGTGTTTTCAATGTGATTGCAAAGATACAAAGGTACGTGTGATAGCGGCTAGCAGTTGCGCTGAAGTCTTTAAAATACTGTCTTTATCCCCTGAAGGAAGGAAAGCTCTTCAGTTAGGAATGAAAGTAAAGCTAATATACCAATGCTCCACTGACCTCTGGTGGATAGCATAATGCTCCAGCTTGGAGCAGAAGAGCTGTTTTTGTGGGTGACAGCTGACTTGCAGGGCACGCTAGCAGAAGCCTGGTTTGGAACATATTACATAGGGGAAGATTCTCCCATCAGTGACACCCTTCCTTAGCAATGAGAATATCAGTCTGTTCAGCCTTGTTTTCAAAAGCCTCCCCCCCACTGAAAGTGATATGCAGGTGCATTACATCTGCAGGATCCACAGTACCTCAGACAGAAGTCTGCTCTAAAGGAGGAAAGCTCACTCTGTTTATGTGAACCACCTCCCTGGATCACACCCATGATTATGCATTCATGTAGTGACCAGTCCCTAACAGACAGGAGTTCACCACACTCAGCCTCATGGCTTATCAGGTCTGTTCGCCTGATAATGGCAGTTACTGCCTCAAGGGAATAAACCGTACAGTAAACAGCTTTTCAAACTCCATTATGTAGTTTGGTTTTAACCGTTTTCTTCTCCTTTTTGCCACACTACTGTCTGACTGAGTCACTGCCGTAATTTAGGGACTATTCCTAGATTTTTCTTTCTCTTTTCCTATGCAATTGCTTTCTGACTGAGTTTCCAGGCAGGCTGAAGGTGTGATGAAGGCTTGTAAACTGCTCAAGCTTCTTGCTCACTGTTGCCTGTATATACTGCTGTGAAATTCCTAATAGCTTTTCCAAAGTTCATTAATCTCTCATGTAAGACTTCTTCTTACATGACAAGCAGTGTTTGTCCTAGTTCCGTGTTAACTCAGAATCATTTACAAGGACAGTGACATGCTTGTGAGAAAGCATACTGTACTTGTGGCTCAGATTTATACAGAATATGGACATATGAGGGAAAAGCTTTGAGATGGAAAGGCTGTGGATGAGTTGACTGTCTGAAAGGAATTTGACTTCGCTTCCCACCAGAATTGTTCTGGTTTTGTGGTTTGTTTGGGTCTTTTAATCAACTAATTCAATAGCAGCAGAAAATCAGGCCACTTATTTTTGTGTATTTGGTTCCTGCACAGCCCTGGTACAGAATTCTCTTTAATGCCTCCTACTGCTACAACTTTACATACATATCAATTTTGATATAAGGATACCATGTAAAATGTGTTCATGTCAGAAATCTGAGCAGCTCTCGGTCCTGTTGCATTAGAAATTAAAAATATCTAACCATCTTCCTTTTTCAACTGCAGAACTGCATGAGAAAACATATGATGGTGAAAACATAATCTACTGGGAAGTGAAGTACCCTTTCCCCCTCTCAAACAGAGATGTATCCTTTCAAGCTTTTTGTTCTCTTGCACTCTTTGTCACTTTGTCATCCAGGGATCCCAACAGTGTACTGATTCTACTGCTCTGCTGCACATCGTCTAAGGTCTTGCAGTCATTGTATGACATGAATATGTATAACATGAAGGAGAGTGGGGGTACCTCTTCCCACACACAGCTAAAGCTCACATAACTGGATTGAATCCTGTAGAAGCATAAGAAATAACTTGAAGGGGCTGGTGTTTGTGATGGAATTCACTTGTCAATTCATCATTTGTCAAACTGACACTGTTTTGACATGCCTCCTCAACTTGAACACAGTATGTCTATATCCGTGAATGCCGAGAGATGGATGTTGCTGGGCGGAAGGTCTGGGTTGTGTTAGCTCGGAGTGTGTCTGTTCCTCAGTGCCCTGAGAAGCCCGGTATAATCAGAGTTAAAAACTACAAACAAAGCCTAGCAATTGAAAGTGATGGCAAGACTGGATCAAAAGGTAAGAAGTCAAGAAAGCGTGGTCACAAGTCATGTAGCCAAAGAATGTCTGTATTAGCAAGATGCACAAAGAGGAAGACTGGAAATTTTAACCTAAACCCAGGTACTGTAAAGTGGATGTACTGAGCACTGGGAGTACTTTAAAATAAATGAAGCTTTTAGAAATGCCCAGTGCAGCGTGCTGCTGTTAAGAATCTTTTATTTAATGGGCTGGGTAGTTAAGAATGAACTACTGACCACTTCATTCTGGCCCCCCGTTTCTCTTCCTGCCAGACGGTTCAGTTGGGTAGAGTCTGATGCCAGCTGCAGTCTTCTGAACTCAGCAATGATTTAAGTGTCAGGTTTGACAGATGTATAGATTAAAGGGTTTGCCTAGAGCTTGACTCCTGTCTGAGATCAGTCCTTTAAACACAATCTTATTTTAAAAGACATGCTGCCTAAAATAGTTTTCAGTAGTCTAAGTTAATATTACGGCACACTCAAGCTTCCCAGAGGTTACCTGGGAATGGCTGTGCTTATTTCACATTCTATTTCAACATAAGTTGACTATTTTGTGAAGAAATGAGAGCAGAACTGTTGTACTTGGTGCTTCAGTCACGCACATCAACAGCTTCTGTCATGTGGTGTTAGAGAAATGGGCTATGGCTGGATAACTTTCTGGTAACTTCTCTCTCCTCTCTAGTGTATATGTACTATTTTGATAATCCTGGTGGCATGATTCCATCATGGCTGGTCAATTGGGCTGCCAAGGTAAGTAAAGGCTGACAGCACAATTGTCTTTGGCTAGTCTGTTTCAATCAGTGCATTCACTGCGTTGTACCTTCTTCTGCATGGTGGGTAGAATTATTTTCTTTCTGAAACAGATGTATTGACTATGTAACAGAGTCCCATTTTTAGAGAATCGCTATTGTCTGCTCTCACTGCAGTTGTCTTCAGTTTTGGTTTTGGTTTTGGTTTTTAAAGTCCTATCAAATTCCCTTGGTTAGTCAACCAGGCAGTTACATTTCTGCAACAAAACAAAGAAACCCATCTTCCAGAGAATATGCGAATAGCCTTAACACAAGGAAACTTCAATAATGCAGTCTGTTCATGAAGCATGAAAGGAATGGTCTGCTGCCTTGTACCACATCTTAGAATTGTCCTGAATTAAAGGTTTTTATCTATAAAGGGGGAATTCTTACTCTGCTTATAGTTTTTCTTGATTCCATTATGCAAGAATGACTTTTCCACTTTTCTCTTTACAGAGTGGTGTGCCTGCTTTCTTGAAGGATATACAGAAAGCTTGCCATAATTATTCTAAGAGCACGTAGGTCAAAGTTGATCTCAATTGCTTAATTCCTAGAGCTCTGCACTTTCAGGAGTGGCTATGATATATTACACTGGATAAAATCTACCTCTAATATTGGAAAGAATTTTATTATAGTTGGTTTATGCCTTGGATTTGATTAGATCTTTGTTTCTATCTCCAACTGAAGAGCTAGCCACTAACGAGGTAACAGCAGCATCAGCTGCATCCTTTGGAAAGAACGTAAGTTGAGCCTTGTCCCTCATGCTTTGCTTCTGCTGATTGTCATGTGACAGCCAGAAGAGTTCTGTTGTCTCAAATATTGCATCCTTGGACAAGAGACAACGATCTTGCAAGGAGAAACATCTGAACTTCGGCTGAAAATTCTCTGCATGTCTTACGCCTGGATCTGCCTTCATGGCCTTGCAGGGTGGTTGCCTACTGAAAATGGGTAATGGAACTTGGCATTGCTTAGGAGGAAACACTTTCGCTGCTCAAGTTTTTAATTCTTAAACTTAAACGTATAAATTCTTAAACTTAAACGTATAAAATGCTGAGGACATGCAGGTAAATTACTAGAAGTCTACATCAGGAACTGGAACTCTGCGTTACGATGCCTCTTTATAGTGGCTTTAAGTCCAGAGCTAAAAGGACTTGTGCCTAAAGCCTTTCATTCACATCTGAATACCCCTGTATGCAAAGTAAAAGCCATTAGCTGTGTCCAGCTAGAAAAAAAAGGAGGAGTTGGCTTCCATATCTAATTTAATGGGAACAAGTTATATCTTCAGAGTCAGTACCATATCTAGAAAGCAGTACCAATTTGAGACTGGAAGTAATTTTAAACTGGATGCCTGCAACTGATTGTGACTGAGCCTGATGTGAAATTTGGGCTTGCTTGCATTTTAAAATTTCATGCTGCTGTGAAGGATGGAACTGTAGTTTTGGATGGTGATCCACTGAAAGCACAACAGAGCAGGAAATTACATTTCCAGCACCTTTGCAGGGGGCAAAGAGGTGGTGGAGTGCATAAAAGATGAGAGGTCCTCAATCTCAGGGATTTAACTTGTTCTTCATTGTTACTGAATCTAATCCTGCTACTGAACAATTCTTCTACTGGGGTAGCTCTGTCCTGTTAAAAAAGAAATGGTTGGAGTGATTGCCTTTATATTTTGTGTACATATTCATTTCCAATAAATTATTATTCCATCCATGCAGTGTTCTTGTTCCTTCTCTCATGTTCAACAGTGGCCACGCTGGGCAGGTCACAAATGACAGCCTGATATCGTGGGCTGCTTTTTAAAGGCTTTTGAAAGAATAACTAAGTAGGATTCCATGTATTCTGAAGAGCTTGCTGTCAGCAGTTTAGGCTTTTTTCAAGTGTTTTTGACTCGGAGGCCATTACAGAATTCAATATTACAGTGTTGGGCAATTTTCAATCCATTTTAAATTTAGCTGTCACATTTTTTTCTCCAGCAGATAAAGAACAGACATGGAGAGAGAATAGTTCTGAAGCAGAATTCTCTTTTAATAGTTTTTGTGCATGTGTGCTTGCTGGAGGTGAAGCTGAATTTTTATGTATGTGTACTGAAAATTATTTATCTCCATCATACCAGGAATATGATGGTGTTTCACCTGAGTATATAAATTCTCCAATTTTTATTTGCAGTGTTGGAACAAAAAATACCTTCAGAAAGCATTTTAGCAGTGTGGCAAGTCTGTAAAAATTCAAATGTCATATGCAATCAAGAATACCACAGTTGCTTTTGAACAACACAATGTGGATACAAGTTAATGTTCTGAAGCCCAGCAGCAATGGTGGGACTGGGGAGATTGTTCAGAAAGACAATAGAAATGCAAAACAAACTGTTCTAGACTTGATGTAACAGCACTTAAGAAGGGGACTAGCTGAGGATGGATCTTCCTGGAGCAATGATGCAAGCTAAGTGATTTCCAGTTCCTTCTGGACAAAACTGACCTCTGTGCTGCAGTACAAACCCTGCCTGTAACTGTGAACCTACCTTAAAATGCAGAGTTTCAACGTTTACAAGAATTCTGTACCTAGCAAGCTGAGTATGTGCGCAGAGGTGAATCATGTCTGGATGGGTTTTTTTCATCCTTTTCTCCAACCAATCCATAATTTTGTTTATAAATAAAATGCAATCAGGAGAGAAAGCATTTTGTATTCATAAATTCACAATCACATTTTTGTCATTACAGTTGTTTGTCATCACGAGAGACTGTACATTTTCCCCCAGTGGGCTGAAAGAGTAAGACTGACCATTCAAGAGGGTGAATGGCTCCATTGTCAATCTTGCTGAAAACCTGATTTCCTACAGACCCCACACAGAGAGTATAGAATACACAACCTCTGCTCATGTATCCTTGTTAAACTATTGCACAGACAGTTTTTTGTGCTGTACACAACTTTCCAAATCAGAACACATTTGATTAAACAGTACCTCCATAAGGAGTGATGCTAAACAAAGTGAATATAAACCATTCTTCCACATTGTGATCTAGTCATTCAAATCTGTTCTTTCCATGTGATCTTGCTGTAAAACTATTGTATTTGAGTTGGAAGGTAAAGCAAAGGAAAGATTCTGAGTAACCCAAAGTCAACATAGTGAATGATGTCAGATACGCAATCACTGCAGTGCTGCCTCTCAGAAGATGATGTGTAAAGGGAAACACAATTTGTCTTTGCTCAGGAAACATCTGGTTGGTACTTCATTTCTCAAGCAGGTTGTTGGCTGTTTTTATTATTTAGTGGAACAGAAAAGTGAGAAGATAGAGGGATAGGCTTCTGGTACAAATGCACACTAGTAGATGTATCTTCTCACCAGCACTTGTTCCATTCTGTTAATTTTCTCTGTACAAAGAACATTTTCAAATGGGGTCTAATGGTATTTAGATTTCACTTAGCTGAGAGTAATCTCCCTGAGAATGGATTTGCCTTCCCTAAACAGGAAGATATTTCATAATCAAATTTGGTGCCCCACTGTAGTCTTCTGATCAGAGGAAACTATTAGACTTTCAGACAGAACACTGGTTTTCATTCATCTCTTAAAGATTAAAAATCACTGAAAACTTTCATGCAAAACCAGAAAGGAAGGCTTCCGATATGAAATAAGTTGTTAGAAGTCTGGATGGACTGTATGGAAGATAAATGTTTTTTGGGGAGCAGTAACAAGAATAAATCTCTACAGCATGATGAGTGTTGCTGGAGTACTCATACTACTCTGGTTTACAACTGCAGATTCAAGAGGAATCCTGACCAACAAGGTAAATAGAGCTGGTGTTTAAGCATCCAACTAATTCTTCTCTGAAGCTGCCAATCAACATATGAATTAGCATTACGTATGAACAAACATGCATACATAATGAGAATGTCACCTTTCTCAGTTCAGCATTCCTTGTTCTTTGAGAACTTGACCATAAGCAAGTAATTCTCATCTGGAATCTGGATTACAAAAGTAGCCTGGGGTCCTGCTGTGAGACAGGAACATTTTAAATGGGAACAATTCTCCACTGGAAACCTTCATTTCCAAAGTAAGAACAACTGCATCCTGTGAATAAGTGTTTCAGTGGAACATGCCATCGTAAGCAATTACATTGAAGGGCCTTGAATATAAATATTAATTTTAGCCTTGTGAAAAATTTCCTGCACCCCAGCTGTGTAAGCAGTTAAATTGAAAGCTGTCCCTGCAGTTGAAGCACAAGTGCCTGTAACATTAAGATTTGAGCTTGCCTTTGTCCTCGCTGGATTTCATGCAGATTTTTAGATTTTTCTATGGCCTGTTTCATTACTGCAAGCAGAAAAGGTTCTATTACGGTCTTTGTGACACTTGAAGTGTCAGCTTTTGCCCCAAGCTTAATTCTGCTATTATTCCTCATCTGTGAAAGAAGTTTCTGAGAGTGAATCATTTTAATAGACTGTGTTGTTCCTGAAATGATCAGTTTGGGATTGTAGCACTTCTTCTTCCATAATACATAAGGCCAAGGATTACGTCTGTGCTGTAAATACTTTCAGTAGATGCCTGCTGTTCAATTACAAGGATTACTGACTGCATTTCTGCCTAAGCATAGCTTGAAAGGTTTTCAGTCTTCCCCTATTTCACCTAGAGTTGTGAGGGGTTTGGCTTTTAATATTCCTAGTGCATATACATATCTTTCAAAGCATAATAGAAATTGTAATTGGCTGTAAATGGATGTTCCATATTCAGCTGAAACTTGGAGACAGGTTTAAGAATGGATTTGAAACAATTTTTATTAAGACCAAACTGCTGCTGTGCATTTTAAAAGTTAATGTGTTTTCTCTGCATGGAAATCATATAATTGATTTGTACATTTGAGTTGAGAGCATGATCCCACAAGAAGCCAAAATTGCCTGGCCAACCCTTTTGCCCTGTGCAAGGCTCGCATGATGCTGTTCACCTATTCAAATAAAAACAAACAGTAGGAACATTTCTTCAGCAGGAAATTACTTTGACACTAAAAGTGTCTATTGTCTGAGCGTGAGGCGGGTACGTGAAAGGGTACATTGCCTTCCACTCATTTTTTGTTTTAACATGGGAATAAACTGACCCTTGATAACATTTGAGGTGTGGTTGTAGGAACCATGAAGTTGGGAACATTATCACTGAATAATGAGCTCGATTAATTCACTACAGGGACAGGCAGTGGGTCAGTAGTTTAGAGAAAGGACCTTAAAATCCATTTGAAACAAGTTAAAGAGTAGGAATAAACAAGTAATCTGAGGACACTTTAAGGTCTTTCGGCAAAGACAGGCCTAGAAATACCTGCCAGATCACCAAATGCAATTACAGGTATCGCATAATATAAATCATTCCCTTTCATAAAGTACATTTCACAAGCATGTGTTTAACCCATCTTCTCTTTCAGACTGGTAATCCTGTATGAATCCTGTATGCTGAATACCTTTGTGTAAGTTTATTGTGAACATATGACTTGAGTAGAGAACTAATTTTGCTCTTCATCATTTTTATGATCAGCAGATATCTGAATATTTTATGACAGTATAAAGGAAGTGTTTTTTTCACAGTAGTGCTAATCAGCAATGAAAGAAGTTGATGTGAGACACTTGGAATCTATGGTTTTGGAGATACTCAAAGCTCAGCTAAACAAGGGCTTGGGCAAATTATCTGACCTTGAAAGTAAAGCCAACTTCAAATCTGGTGCTGCATTGGGCTGCAGGTTGGACCAGATGATGAGATGATCCCTTATGTCCCTTCCAAGTTGAATTATTATATGACTTTTAATAATAATAAATCCAGGAGATTACAGTGTGAATCCTTCTGAGAAGGCAGCATTATTTTTTTTCTAAATACTGTTATTTAACAGACCAACTTGAATGAGCTAAATTCCTATGATACACACCAAGATACACAAGTATACAAAAATCCTATAACAAGATCTGCATTAGAAAGAGGTACACATGCATTTTTGACAGGATGCTTCTGTAGGCCTGCATTATTGTTTTAGTTTAGTATTTTAACTAAAATTATTAGGA